AAAGCTGAGAATTTTTTTGAGAGTTTAAAGAACCAATCAAGCACTAATGATGTAATGATGAAATTGGTGCAAATCAAGAAGGTGGTCTCCTCCTGCCAGAGAGTGGGGCCTACATTTTTCTTGTCCAGGTCCCCACCCCCAGGCATGTGGGCCCCCGCCTAATTCCCTTCCCATCCTTGGAAAACAAACAAAAACAAAACAATGAAAAGCACTTTGTTTAATCTATCCTTACCCAAACACAAAGCTAGCTCCCGACAATCATCTCTCTCTCTCTCTCTCTCTCTCTCTATGCCCTATGCTCTCACCAGAGAATGTCTACTCCATCCTATACAACAACAGTCTATTCTGGGTAAGGTTTTCCCCCACTCAATCTCACTTTATTCTTATTCTTGTTGGGAACTCAAATTCTCTCTTAAATTGAGTGTCAATTGTTTATCCGACCAATATATTCATACAGTACATTATTTACCATTTAAAACATTGAGATACATTTATTACAGTACATTATTTACCATTTAAAACATTGAGATACATATAATTGTATTTAAACGGCCGGGTAAGATTTCTAGCCAAAAAAAAAAAACAAAACAAGGCCGGGTAAGATAATAGTATGTACATCTTTAGATAATTTAATAAAATATTCGAAATTTGAATTTCTTTTTCAAATAATTAAACGTCAAGCTATATTTACGTTTTCAATAGTAAACATGTTTTGTTTTACTTTATTCATTCCAATGAATAATAAAAAATGAACAATGTTTAGTTCTAATTGTCACAAGTCATAACACAACTTGAAAAAAAAAAAGTGGTGAAAAGAGTGGTAATCAGTTGGGATTTCTTGTATTTTTCATGACAAATATCACTCCATGGGATTTTAAGGTTTTTTTTTTCTTTTGTCATCTGCCTTTTTTTTTTTTTTTTTTCAAATCGTTTATGAAAAGAATTTTTGGAGCCTTACTTATAATGGAACCAAGAACATGATTCAATTTTAATCGAATGATAGGCCTCGCTTCACTCATCGTCACAAGTGCGACGTTGTACAACTCATTGACTAGGTACCTCTGATTGAGGCTACGAGTATGAACCTATGTGCACATCGTAATTAACAAGATTTTTAGTATGAATATATTGGTCGGATAAACAATTGACACTCAATTTAAGAGAACTTGAGTTTTCTCAATTTTGTATGAATTGCTAACTTTGTTGTGTATAAGTGTAAATAAAATATAACTATCATGATTCTTTGTGTGTGTGTGTGTGTCTTGTTAGGGAGTTTTTCATGAACTTTACTGTGGAATATAACGTTCAATAGCAATAAAATTCATATATCAATAAGTGGAACGAAAAGAGAAATATTTACATTTAGGGGCAAGAATGAGACACAACTCCCACTATTGTCGATCTTGTAATGTACTATATATATGTGCACATAATATATGAATAGATGTATGATATGATTAACGTGGAGATTATTAGGACAAAAAAATTAAATATTAGTATTGACCGTCGAAACTTACTAGTCCAATTGATCTATTTCATTCGAGTATTTTTTTAACATGGTGTCTCCATGTAGTACTGCATCGGCCTAATTTAACAGGATACGAGTAATTAAAAAACAAAGAGAGAGAGAGAGAGAGAGAGAGGTTTTGGCGAATATGTATCTCAAGTGATAATAATTTACTCAAATAATTGTCTTGATGAAACTATATACGGAGTACAAACGCATTAAAGAAAATGACATCTAATTATTTAAAATGAGATAAATAATAAGACTTTACAACATTACGATAAACCTTGCATTTTTCTCTTAAAAAAATTCATATATATGTGACAACTTCTCTTTATTCAATCACGAATTTCTATGTAATACTATACACGTCTTATATAATTTGGTAATAATACATTAAATTGAAACATAAAAGACTATCATTGATGATGAATAAAACACCCAGCAAAAGTCAAGGCCTTGTGAATTTTATAATTTGAGTTTTTAATTTTAATTTTATTACAGTTAAAAATTTTCATAATAAATCACATTTAATTTTTTTTATTACAATAAAAAAATTTTATATAAAATTATATTTTAACATAAATTAAAAATTTAAATACGTGAACTTAAATCACATGTCCTATATTCAAGTTTTCTTCCAAAATTAAACACGTCCGATGGGAGCTCATGTCGTGGGAGGGAAAACGACCTGCCCTCCTTTATCTCAGTAGTCTCAATTCAAATGGGTCCCACAACAGCCACTCAAAAAGGCTCAAAAACTCCACATGGACCATCTTCGTCTCTATAAGTGCGCGAGGATCAAGATCATCATGATCAAAAAAAATACTACTTAAGGCCCGACACGTGGCAAACCACGACATTGATTGATGCGTCAATCGGACGGCGGTTATTTTGAGGGCGGTGGCTATGTTGCCGGTTGTAGAGGGGGCAACTGGCCGGACGGGTGCAGACGCTTTTTCCCTTCCCCACTGTTCTCTACTCAGTCTCTGGTCGGATATAGAGACGGGTTTTGCTGCTCTGTGGCGGGGACCACGATAGTGCGTCGGGGTCGTCCCCACAGTGAGGTCCCTCTGGGTTGCCACGTCATCAGTATGCTAGGTGAAATGATGACCATGTCAGATTATGCTGATGTATTCAAACGTAATTACTTGTGCTCCTTTTTTTTTTTTTTTTGCTTTTCACTTTCTAAATAGGGGCCAAGGGGTTCCTAGTTTGGTCATTTTCCTTTTTTATTTTTTTTCTACCTTTACACGTATCTTTTTTTTTTTTTTTGTGTCGGCTAATTCGCACTTGTGAGCTGTGACTACTTATGAAACTGCTTGGTTGGGCTTTTGTAATGGCTATTTGAATGGACTTCGAAGTTCAGTCCATGGACATTGCCATATTGGGCCTAACAGGCCTCAAACAGGCCAGTTTCATCTAATCGAAAGTGCGGTTCGGTTTCTCTTTTCTTTAGCACAAAGACCACATGACAAGATTACTATTGCCAAGTCTCAATTATCTCTATGGGCTTCATTTCATCACTACCAGATGAACGTGGGATACCTTTTAATTTTCATATGGTTTTGATTGGATCTTATGTTCAGAAACAATAACCGTGACCCTAACACTCTGTTTGGTAGGAGGGAAAGAAAAGAGAATGAAAAAAAAAAAACACATAAAAGAAAGAAAATATGAAAGAAAATGAATGAAGTTGATTTTTCTTTATAATGTTTGGTATAATGAGAGAAAAGAAAATATGTAATAACCTAAATGAGTATTTTATCAATTGTTTAATATTAATTTAGATTTTAAAATAGAAACACAAAAGTAAATTTAGGCATCAATGAGTGAATTTGAGTTTTCCTTCCAATGTTAGAGAGATAAAAAATAGTGGCCCCACCATAATTCTTTTTCATCTTATTTTCCTTTCTCTCCTCTCTTCCTTCTTACCAAACAACCAACTCTATCATTTTCCATCTAATAATCCCTCTACCTACTTCATTCCTTCCACTTTTCCATCATACCAACACACACTGTAAGACTCCATTTGGTAACAAGGATAGAGATAGTTAGAAGAATCGGTAATATAAGGGATGAAAAGGATTATGGTAAACCTTTACGCTCTGTTTGGTTGACGGGATAGAGAGTAGAAATGATGGGGAGCTTTGGAGGGATGGAAAGTAGGAAGAATAGAAAGGATAGTAGCTCTCTTTTATGTTGTGTAGTAAGATATGAGGGAGAGAAACTAAATCTCCATTATTTTGTTTGGTATTGAAAAGAAAATGAGAAGGATGGATAGATTTATTTATTTATTTTTACAAAATTACTACATCACTCATATCATCTATATTAACTATATAAGTTTTTTTCGATGCTTATTTTTAAATAATCCAACGATGAACAAAGATTTTCTCCCCATTGTGGCTCCGAAATGGAAGTGGAAAGAGAGTTAAAAAAATGGATGAATGAGTATTTATTTACTTACTATATAGTCCTTTTTACCATTTCATACTAAACTTTTTGAAAGATAAAATGGGATTTTTAAACCTTTAGTGGTGGATTTCATAAATCCTTCTACTGATAGAAAGATGCAAAACGAAATCCTTCTATTGATGGAAGGATGCAAAATGGGTAAGTGCGGATGGAGAGAGCCCCACTCCATTTCTCCTCCCCGTCCTCCTCCCATCCCAACATACTAAAGAATAATAAAGCAGTACTTCTCACAACTACAAAAAAGGAAAAAAAATAAAAATAAAAAAAATAAAGATGTGACATATAGTAACAGCCCAAAAGGAGGTCACGTAGCTCTAAATTTACAAATTACAAAAATTTCAAGGTTGAATATGACTTTTGGAATTGTCCCTCCTCAATACTCGTGAATTGCTATTAGCCTATTACTAGACATCACTGCGTACTATCCATTGGCCCTGAGCATTGATGATTGCTATTTTTCAAATCACAAAAACGAACTAGTCTTTGTTGGATGTGGAATCTGTCTTGAACTGCCGAAAACTTGAGCCTCAATGCATTGAATTTGGTACTCTTTTTTAAATATGATTTCATGCTTGGTGGGTACTAAAACAACAGCACATTGCAACTCGCAACTTGTGCAAGTTGGCACAAAATAATAGAGAAGGCAACTTTTGTACTTCTCACCCTGTTTCCACTTGAAGTATTTATGTCCCAATCCAATAAACCCCCCAATTGAGTCCTATCCAATTGAACAATATAACATTATATTATGTGCCTAGAGAAGAGAACTTTGTAAAGAAGTGGATATAATAAGTTAAGAGTAATATGCTTAGATCCAAATCCAATCAAACAAAAAAAAAGACCCTCTTGTCTCTACCAATCATTTGTTACCCATTTCAGCTGATTTCCCAAAAAACCCTATTCCCCAAATTGCCCTTCCCGTCACACATCTACATGTTACTTATCCAATATCCAGCATAAAATAGAAGGCTATTTATGTCATTTCATCTCTTTTTGGCTTTTCACGCTGTTAAGTTTTGCCTCTCTCCGCTTTCTCACACGGAAAGAAACCCGGCTCAGAATCGGAGCCACAGAACCTTAAGAAGAGCTTAAAAGGAGTTTGACCTGGAGATTAATGGAAATTTGGGATTTGGGATTTCTTTAGTTTGTCATTTTTCTCAAGGTTAGTTGCTTTTCCTTCCGATTTCCCATTCAAAAAAATATTCTTTTTCCTCCTCTGTAGAACCCTTGAATTCTTTCTTCTCCCCTTTGTTTGAGCAATGGTTATGGTGTAATTATGGTGGTATTCAACATAGATTTTGGAATCTATAAAGGGTGAACACAAAAAAGAAAATTGAAAAATCTTAAATGTGAAAAATAACTGAATGAACAAATTACCATTTACCAATGTTACATCTTTCAAACTGAAATTCTGTTTACATTTTTAACTTTCTTGTGCTCATTTCTTCATTTGCCTCACATAGCTATAATGTTTGTTTGTTATATTTAGAACCAAGAATTATGTTGTGCCCTGTTAGAGTTAGTGGTTAAATGATAATCATTTAGCTATTTTGCTTACTTTGTCTTGGTGATAGTTGAAGTCGATAAGTATTCATGATTGTGGATAAATTATGATAAACTTGTCTTGTTTTATCAATTGGAATTTGTACATTTTACTCATTTCGGCACAACGTCGATTTGCATCATATTGGTATTATTATGCTTTGTTGATTTTGGTGATAGTTGAAGCAGATAAATATTGATGATTATAAAAGAGTGAGGGGTTACAATAGAGTAATCTTTATGAATTTTCATTTTCCATTTGTAATTGATAGTGTAAAGTTCGATTAGTTTTCAAGATTGTAGATCAAGAAAGATGTTTCGGTGTTGGGAATTGACTGTGTTGTCTATTCCTAATTGATTCAGTTTCATATCAGTTTGGAGATTTGACTTTTCAGTTGCACGAAGCATGAACTTTTTCGCGAGCTTGCTAACACATGGACAAAGCTGCATTATGCAAGCCTTGCAGACTTGGTGATCCCGAAAGAAATGACACCCTTATTTGGTTGAAAAACAAGGAAGGAAGACCAGAATGGTTCTATTCCCACTCCTCTATACTCACAGATAAGAGCAAGTACTTTGCTGATCAGCTCTCCCATCTGATCTCTAGTAATCTCATTGAGATTCAATGTTCAGAATTCGATTATGATCACCATGTCAAACTTCTAAGACTGCTATATCTCCCTGCACACTCAATTCTAGAGTCGTTGAACTCGGTTAAGTCTGCTCTAGGTGTTCTTGAGTTAGCAGTTGCCTTCCAATCTGAAGAGATTGTGCGGTGCTGCATCCAATACCTGGAGGCCGTTCCTTGGGAGGACAAAGAAGAAGAACACATTTTAAAAGTAGTTGCAAAACTTGGCCCGGTAGCCATGCCCATTTCAGCCAGGATTCAACCTGTGGACTTTACCGCCACGAAAAATGTCTTTGTCTCAGCAGTTCGCTTCGCCATGTCCATTAATAGACCTTGCCCTCCATTTGGTGATGAGCTCAAAACTTCTGCCCAAGAACAGGTCGAATACATGCTTGGGGAAGATGAGGACTTACCATTGGTCACAGCGGACGATGAAGTTAGATCATTGGTAAGAACAGGTCTTTCCAAAATATGCGAACTGTTTGAACAGGAATTATCCTCCCTGCTTTCGGAGCCTAACCTTGCGTCCGATACAGCAGAGGCTAAAATATTGCATAGTTTGTCTGATCTTGAATGGATGTGTAACATACTTCCCAAGATGGATTTGATGAAAGAATTTGTTTCCAACTGGGCTGAAATCTCCCCTAATGTTTTAAGCATTGTTGAAGATCAGAAACTTGATTTTCTCATGTGGGGTCTGAAAACTAAGCTAATAGAAGTTACTGCTAAAGTCTTGGACGCAGTTGGCTACGGCAACGTGATTCTTCCTGCGCCGTGTCGCGTGACATTACTAAAGACATGGCTTCCTTACATAAGGAAAATCAAGCCCCTTTTGGATTCAAAAGGCAATGAGGAGACAGGCTTTCCTCACAAGATGGATGAGAACCTATGCCAAAGCATTGAAGGGGTGATTGTTTCGTTGATTCTGTCGTTGCCGTCGAATGATCAGGCGGATATCTTGGCAGATTGGATGACGGCAGACCAAGTTCGGTATCCCGACTTGAGTGAGGCTTTTGAGGTCTGGTGTTACAGAACCAAGTCTGCAAAGAGAAGATTGATGGAGGGCTTGAACAAAGTTGGCAATGCCACTATTAGCCTGTAAACGTTTTTGCTCTTTTGAGCTTGTTGTACCATTGTTTCATTAAATGCAAAGGATGATAGTTTGTTTAGTTTATTTGTTCTGATATAAATCAAGCTCTTTTGATTTTTTTTTTTTTTTTTTTTTTTTTTTGCATCTTTTTCCATGTGGAGATAATGTTACAAACTGCAGGGCCTAATTGTTGTGAAACCTTTTTTTTTTTTTTTTTTAAAGATGAGCTATGATTATATGGTAGTGAATGTTGGGTCATTAAGAGATAACATATATGTAAGATGAGTGTGGCAGAAATACGTATGTTAAGATAGATAAGTGACCATATGAGAATAGATCGTATAAGAAATGAAGTTATTCGTAGTAAAGTAGGTGTAGCACCAATAGAATATAAGATGCGGGAACGCCGCTTGAGGTGGTACGAGCATGTCCAACGTAGACCGCTAGAAGCACCAGTTTGTGCTTGGGAGGACATTCTTATACCTAATACTAGGAGAGGGAGGGGTGTAGACCAAGAATTACATGGACCGAAGTAGTTAGGAATGACATTCTACATCTAGACCTTTAGGAAAGTCTAATTTCGAACAGAGTTGCGTGAAAAAGTGAAATCCATATATAACTGATTCCAATTAAGTTGGGATTAAGGCTTGTTGATGTTGTTGTTGAGCTATGATTATAGTGAATAAAATAGGAGTATGTTTGAAGGTTTTGCCGGATTGGTGGATACTTCTACCGATCTAACATTGAATCAAACTCAGATTAGAGTTGGTGTTGATGGGGGACATGGCCATCATTGTGTTCTCACTCACTTTTGTGCTAAATCCACCGACCAGTTGAAAAACAAACGGCTATAAACACGTTTTTTAAATTTCAAAAAAGAAGTACGTGTTTGTAGATTTTTTTTTTTTTGGAAGATTTATATTTTAGGTATAAACAACTTTGGTTTCAAGTGATATTACGTATTTTCAAACGAGTCGGTGGAATTTTCTTTATTTTATTTTGTTTTATTGTGGTTGGTTCCAATGTTGTATTTGATCGATCATGGGTTGCAAATAACATAGAGACAATTTCCTCAAAAAAAAAAAAAAAAAAAAAAAAGATGAAGTTGTTAAGATTGGCTTTCTCAGGAAATGTATGGCTCCCTGTGGGGTAATATGTTAGAATGACTATCCAACAAAGTGAAATTAACAAAATGACATTCTTTTATTTTTTATGAAGAAAGATACTTAATCATTCTTTGTAAAAAGAAGTCATTTTACAAATAAAAATTTTTAAAAAGTTATTTTATTAATAAAACTTTTTTATTGAGTTATTTTTATAAAGTACTCCTGTGCTGAAGTTCTAACTCCACAATTAGAGACTAGTTTCCGGTAACTTCTAAACACTTACCGAAACTCCTTGGCAACTCTCATTTTGTGTTTTAGCTAGTTTTGCATAAATCTAAGCATCGGAGAATTTTAAGTATGGGACAAAAAATTACACCAACAACATTTTTCCTTTTTTACATTATTAATTAATTTTGTAATTATACATGTGTATTCAGTCTTGTTTTTGGTAAAGCATTAGTAATTTACCACCACGCGTCTCACAATAAAATATAACCTATAGTAGAGAGAGGTAAAAATAAATAAATAAATAAAAAGGTCCTTCAGTGCATTTTGTGTAGAGAAAGTGCTTCAACGCATCACTATCCACTTAATCATCCATTACCAATACCAATGTCAGTAGCAAAAGCAATAAAAAAAACAATCTGAGAACATCCCATAAAATTAGGATAGTACATGGAAGATTAGTACGGTTCCTGTGTAAAGATGGCACACAAATCGAAACAGTAAAAAATAACAATATGGAATTATGAAGTGCTTTTATTCTCTTTCTTACAATTGGCATTTAATATTTCTTATTGCTCCTCCTTTTTATCATATAGGAAAAATGGAATTATGAAGTGCTCCGATGCATATTAATAATTGTATTACCAAAACTCTCATCATCATGTTAGTCATTTTATATTTTCAGTTAAATTAGCTGATGATTTAACTTTTTTTTAACTTTTTTCACTCTAACTATTAACTAAATAGTTAATTATTTTTAAAAATGTCTTTTACACTAACTAAATATAACTAACATGAAGATGCTAACTATTTAATTTTTATATTATTTTATTCTTTCAATCATAATAAATATAAATTTTTTTAATTCAATAAAATTATTTATATTTTAAATTTAATAAATATTAAAATAATCTATATTTAATTAAAATTTAAAATATAATTAAAATAAATCACCTAAAAATTAATAACTAAAATAACTTTTTAATCATTTTAACTAAAATTTAACTATTTTTTTTAGAGAGTAGCGATGCTCTTACCAACAGCGCTATAAAAATTTTCAAAAAAAAAAACACTAATAATAACGATTTAACATTACACTCCTTTCAAAAAAATAATAATAATAACATTACACTCGTTTTCTTCTCTCTTATCTTCAGATGGCTTTGTAAAAATAACTCAATAGAAAAGTTTTATTAGTAAAACAATTTTTTAAAAATTTTTATTTATAAAATGATCATATTTTATAAAAAATAATTAGGCGGTGATTTTTCATAAAAAATAAAAAATATCATTTTATTAATTTCACTTTGTTAATTAGTCATTCTAGCATATTGTCAATTATCTTCCTCCTCTTTTAAAAAAAAAACGACAAGTCGTTCATATGTCAAAACCACGAAACCAAAAGGAAGTTTCCATCCGATTAGCAAAAAAAGGAAGTTTCCATCCGGATTTTTGGGTCTATCAACGACCATCGATCATAATCACCATTCACCATTCACCATCTCCGCAAGAAATCTCCGTACGTGGTAATTCCCTTCTCCTCCGTCTCTCTCCTTGAGAAAAGTCTTATAAGCCCGGCTTCCAACAAAAACAAAACCCGCGATTTCCTAATTTTTCCCAAAATTCTTTCTTCTTCTTCTTCTTCTTCTTCCTCTTCTCTGTAAATCCATTTTCCATTTTCTCTGGATTTCAGAGCTTCAATCCCGACCATCGAATCATCAATCGATAAATCGAGAAGAAGAATAAGACGACGGCGTCGGCGATGTACGTAAAGGCGGTTCCTACGACGGATCTGAACCGGAACACGGAGTGGTTCACGTACCCAGGGGTTTGGACGACCTACATTCTCATTCTCTTCTTCTCATGGCTCATCGTCCTCTCCCTCTTCGGTTGCTCCTCCGGCATGGCCTGGACCATCGTCCACCTCGCCCATTTCCTCGTACGTCCGCCCTAATTTCGATGATTTTTGCTTAATTGATAGTTTGTGTTTTCTTGTTTCGAAATTTTTAATGAATTTGTTGTTTTGTTCTGATTTCGCATTGATAGTTTCCAAGATTCAATCTTTTGATTCATTAGAATATGGTTTTAGGTTTAAATCGAGTTTTTTGGGGTATAATTTAGATAATAAACATCGTGGAGAAGCAAAATAATGAAGGTTTTAGTTAGCCTCTGGACTTTTTGCTGTTTTAGGTGAATTCTGGTTTCCTCCGGATCCAACTGAATTTGCAAAAATAGGTTAAGACAAAAGGGTAAAGTTATATTTCTCTAATAAGTTTGTGAAATACATATGCTTTATTGCTTTGTGATATGAAAAGTTGAATCTTTTCAGTTGCAATTACATACATTGAATGAGATGTATCAAGACTTGAGTTTCTATACTTGTTTATTTCTCATTCAATCTAGGACTTTTTGTCTTGGATCAAATTTCCATCGTTCTTGGTTTTTGGAGAAAAAGAGAGTGGTATCTGTTTGTGATAGCCAGTAGTGTAATTATTCTAGTTCTGTGTCTTCTAGAAAATGAAGTACGTGTTAGTTCTTCTATTCTTTGGTTTCAGTCCTCTTGCTCATCATTGCCATAGTTAGTTAAATGATACCAAATACCAATTGTCTATTGGCAGATAGTGTGGTTGATTTCTTTCTCTTTGTTTTTGTTCTTTCCTTCAGGTTACATACCAGTTCTTTCATTGGAAAAAAGGAACCCCGTTTGCCGATGATCAGGGCATCTACAATAGGTTGACTTGGTGGGAACAGATTGACAACGGCAAGCAACTCACTCGGAACAGAAAGTTTCTCACCGTCGTTCCTGTTGTGCTGTAAGTTCTCAGATTTCTTCTATTGGTCTTTCACTTTGGATTTCGATACATGGCAGAAGCGTAAACTATATATGGTTATCATGACATTGTTACGCGTCTGCCACGGAAGGAGATGCAGAATGATGCACTCCTTTTGTTGTTTCTATGGTTGGGTAAATTGCCCATGTTATATATATAAGAATTTGTTTTCCTGTTTATTCATTTCACTTCTGAATGAGATTTTGGGTTTAGGTTTGTTCACCTTTGGTTTTGGTTGATCACTACTAGGACGTCATGCAGGGTGCATACACAAACCTGCCTTGGCAATTTTTCTAGTTAAATTAAATAGCTTAGCTATAGTAGCTATAGAGAGAGGTGGAGATAGCCTTTTGGAGTTTGGACTGGTATGACCTCTCAGTTGAATGAAGTTGTATTTCAATTTTTTTGTTTTCCTTTCCCTGTAGTTTATAACCATAATAAAGTTGACAATTCTAATACCATGATTATTTGCAGATAAAATTAAATTTGTCAAAGCAATAAATAAGTTCATATTTTTTTCATTATCCAAAATTGAGACTAAATTCTTCAAGAAGAGGATAAGTCGTGTATGATGGGCTGCAATAAAAGGGATGGACGACGTTAAAGTTGTTCCAAGATAGTGAAGTTCTTTCTTACACCTGCGATTAAAATATGAACCTTCACTATCTGTTTGATTCCCCCCCTTATCATTGGGAGGGGGAAAGAAGGCTTTATAAATGTATGCTAATCCAGCAGTATGCACTTTGGATGAATCTTGCTGCATATGTGGAATCCTGTGTTTCGTGTCAGTATATCGTTGGATTTGGTTTTTGGAATATGATGCCTTTCTCTGATGCTTTGGGAAATAGGCATTCTATAGTGATGCTGAATTTGAACTCTTTCCTTTGCCTACCAATGTCACTGTGATGCTTCTTTCTTTATCATCTGTGCCCAACATTTTGAACTGTTTTGTCTACCGATTTGTCTTGTACAAGGCTCTCAAGAGTTATGTGTCTGCCGTTTCTTTTATTTTTATTTTTTTATTCTTATGCAATGTTTGCCTTAACCAGCGCAAATCAGGGGACGCTCAACTTGAATTGAAAATTTATGTTGTTTATGTACTTACGTACCTCTCATATTGTCGTTTCCTGGGAACTTCTTATTTTCTGATGTATTACTAAATTGTATTTGACATGTGAAACGATAAACTGAATCTGAATGAATATTGATACCTTCTTCCTCTGTTGCCCGTGTTTGTTTTAGTTTTATTTTTGTTTTAATTGGAAATATGTTCCATCCCAATACCTAAAATCGTCTTGTTCGGTTTTCCAGGTACTTGATAGCCTCGCACACAACGGATTATGAAAACCCAATGCTCTTCTTCAACACACTGGCAGTTTTCATATTGGTGGTCGCAAAGTTCCCAAACATGCACAAGGTTCGAATATTTGGAATCAATGCCGATCATTGATCAGTTACGGAGCAATATGAGCTTGGATCACTCTAGTTTCTTGGTCTAATCATGTTGGCTTCCCAATTTGATGGTGAACAAAATTCCCCTTTAGAGATGTTGAGACTTGGAAGGTGTTTCTCACAATTAATGAAGCCATATTTTTTAGTAGTAGCTGTAACTGTAAGTGACATAACTTGGAGGGGCAATATTCCATTGTATCGGACGAGCTAATATCGGTGAATTTCGTTACTCATTCATTGTCATCAATTTTTTGGTAAAAAAAAAAAAAGATTTTTTTTTTTTGGTGCTATAACATTAATAATGGTCACAAATGGAAGCCGAAGCGAACTGTGATTATGAATTTTATTGCTTTCGGCCAGAGCAAGACTTTTTGTTGGTTATTTTCCTTTTTGAATTTTATAAGTTGTTTTAACTCTGCAAAACCTACTCAAACCATGCCTGAATAATAAAAAGTCCATGTGATTTCTTAGATCGCCAACCCGAGTCTCTAGTAGTGGATTAGAGGAAGCTTAGGTGACGGTTGTTTTAAGAGTTTTGTTTGGTTTAAAATTATGGTTTAGAATCATGGTTTTTAGTTCTGATACAGTGTTTTGCAATCATAAAAAATTTGAATTTTAAAAATTAGAATCATGAACTATGATTTTGAACTTATGAACTAAATGTCACCTTACTTTTAGGAGATCATTTTAACGTATTAAAATTTTTTTTTTTTTGACATTTTCATACCTTCTACTTTTAAGTTGAAATTATACCTTCCAGAATGGTTGCACGTTTTAATTTCTAGATTGTGAATTTATGCTGCATTTTTGCCTCTTCTCGATCAACGTCAAGGTTGATTATAAAAAAGACCTAAGTAAGGAAAAAATGAAAATGTAAAATCTAAAAAATTGCAAAAAAAACAAAACAAAAAAAAGTCTAATTAACTGCCTAATTAAGCATCCCCAATGTTCCAAACCTCCCTCGAGTGCGCCCTTGCGCCCTGTCTCAACAGCCAACCAACGGTGGTGACACCGTGTGCAAAGGGACGATGATAAAGCGACGGCATCCCTCCACAACCTTCAAATTCAATTTTTGATATATTTTTAGAGTTGTGTCTGTTCTTATTTACTTTTTGTTTAGGTTTTTATGTTTTATTTTATGCTTTTGATTTATTTGGTTTACTATTTTTATTGATGATTTTTTTCTTGGTAAAAATTGATTGTTGATTGAGAAAAGGTTAAAACTTAAAACTGAGAATAAATTCAAATGTGAAGGTATAAACATACAACAATTCAAAAAGAAAAGTATGATCATTCGAAACTCTTAAGGTGTGTTTGGTAGATAGATTTAGAATCATGATTTTGGATCCTAATTTAGAATCAGTGTTTGTTTACAGTGATTCTGAATCATGATTCAGAATCAGTATTTGGTTTGGATGATTTAGAATCTGATGTGGTATTTTAAACTAACTCAAATCATGATTCTAAAACCACTCCCTCTTGATTCAAGGTAATTCAAACCTCTGATTCTGAATCATGGTTTCAGAATCATGATTTGAACCCAAAATCATGGATCATAGTTCTAGTTTTAAAATTATGATTAGTTTCACCTTGATTTGAATTATCATACCAAATGAACCCTTAAAATAAAGGGTATAAAATATAAAAACCACAATAAATTAATAAAAATAATATGAAATTAAAAGACGTTTTTGGGTCAAAATAGGTTGTTTATGGAGTAAAGGTACGGATTGAGCATGAATTTGAAATTTAACTGTATAAACGTTCGACATACAAAATACAAGGTAGTTTTTAGATAACCTCAAAAAAAAACCCCAAAAAGGAAAAAAAAAAAAAAAAAAAAAAAAAAAAAAAAATGTAAAACATTGTGGATCGAATTCCAATATGCAACAGGACGTATAAATCCATCCAGCTTGTCTGTATCGTTGGGGTGCGATTCATCACGTGCAGTTGTGTATCGCCAATATTTTGCGTATCAAATTTTAACACGTTACCTAGCTAGTGGATTTTTGTTTTTGTTATTTTCATTTTTTTTTTCAATTCGGAATATCAATCAGTACGATTTTGTTGTGAATATTTTTCCAAGTAGCGTGGCTTAAGAGTGCCGACTTTGACTATTATGTCACAAACCTTGAGATAATGGTGCATGGTTTTTTTGTTTTTGTGTTTTTTTTTTTTTTTTGCTGAGTTAATGGTGCATGGTTATACATATATACACGCATATCAATTATTTTATTTTTAAAGACATTTTCCGTCCTTTATTAATAGTATCAGTTTTTAACTGTTAAATTTAGTCAAAATTATATTAAATTAAAAAAATATATATAAAATGTAATTTTTAATATAAATCTAACAACTGATAACTTATTTTTCTAATCTTTATCAGATAAATTTCCTTATTTTTATCAATAAAAACTTGATTCCCGTGCTATTCTTTTGTATGCTATATGTGTATAATAATACACGTGTGTGTATATATATATATATATAAATATATCAGAATTTTCCAAAATAAAACCTATATGCAGCTCGTCAGTTTATACCAATATGCTTTCGCACATTTATATTCTCAAACAACAAAGAACCTCACAAACAATGATTTGATTTGATTCTTCGCATGGTCTGTTTCACTTCTTTTCATCTTTTTTTTTTTTTTTGGCATAAAATACCTTGCAAATGGTAACTTTTTTGGACTGTGAGATCTAATTCTTGGTGTTTAAGGAATATATGTAGATACACACACATGTATGTATATATATATAT